AAAACCACTATCTGCATTCAACTCAATATGATGAAATACCTCATCTGAGATAGTTTTCTAGGTGATTTAAGGTCACATAATCGAAATCGGAATATCAGCGTAATCATTATAACTCTTGAATGAAACAAGCTAGAAAGGTGGACGTGACGTAAATGAAAAGAAGACAAATTTTTCTATCAAACTAGTGAGTCAAAACTGAAGAAAAGTTCAGAAAAGACTCTAGAATATTGTGTTCCAAATGTCTATGGAGGATGCATCCAATTGATCTGTTCCAAACCACTCAAATTCTAGCATGTCTTGATGCGCTTGGGTCTTATCTTTCAAACGGTAAAAAATTTACCCTGCTATCTTGTTTCTATCACAAGTTATTCGAAAACCAGCTTCAGTCATTGCTCTTGGAAAGTGACAGTAGGTTTCATTCTGATTTGATGAGTATAACACAAACAATTAATTATGTCCTTGAATATTGAATTTCTTATGTTATTCTATCGCCTTCCTCTCTTTCTTGTTTTGTTTTTCTATCTTTTATTTACTTTTTGATTAATGAAAAAACCTTGTCAAATGTTGAATACTTGTTTGTCACAATTAATAAATAACATTTGTAAAGAAAAGATAGGTATGAAATTTGTCTATGAAATAAATGCGTGAGAATTGCTGAAATTATTTATCATGATCTGAGTAATTTTATCTCTCATTTTGCAACTTTCTGTTTTGAATGACTTATGTTTGTCTATGATAAGAGAGTATATTTATTTAGGCAAAAATATCATAGTACAGTTATATATTACAATTCCAACGATTATATAAAGTTAAAATCATTATCACTAAATAAGTGTTTTTGGTTTGTTTTTTTGTTCTGAAAATCTAGCATAACTCTGAGTTATATAAGTAAATTAAATAAAACATGAAAATTTTAACTTGATTATTTTAAGAAGCTGTAACATATACTCGATTATATTGATATTGACTTTCTTCTACGGATGGTTGAAAATCATTTAATGTTCTAATATTGGATTGACTATTATTATGTGAAGAATGAGATACTGAACTAGATCTACTATCATACTGTCCACTGCGAGGTACATTTTGTTGAAGCAAGCTTCTTACTTGTCTATCCATATTTCCAAACGGAAAATCGTCACTGCTGAAATGATCAGCATTAGGAAAGTCAAGTCCAGTAGCACTGTAATTGATAACAACAACACTGACGCCTATGGAACATAATTCATTCATTGTTTGCTGATGTAAATCTCTTAATGTTCTAGTACTTTTGTTATCGTCACCATCAGAAAAAATAATAAGACGTGAACAAGAATTCGGACGATTTTGTGCATCACGTTTCATCATTTGAAGTACATTATGTAAACGTTGTATGATATTACTTTTGTGTCGAGAACGTGATTTATTTTTATATTTATTTCGAATAACATCCAAACTAAGTGAATGCTCAGGATTTTCATCGATATCACCATGGAAACTAATGAAATAACGATGAATATTAGATGGTGCTAATCTTTCAAGTGTTGCACACATGTCTAAAGCATGTTCGCCACGTGTAGGACCAGAAACAATTGTACAGAATGGCCACTTTATACCATAGGTGTAATCCATTGATCGAGAAGTATCAAGCAAGTAATATATACGTGATATAAGAAGTGGTTCGGGCATGCCTTATAAGTAAAAGTTTTTTGATTTTATACGTTGATAAAAGTTATTCATAGTTATTTTATTTCAAAGTGACGTATGTCAAGCATCAGGGAGTTACGAAGGAAGTCCTCGAATTGTCGATTCCCTTTTAAAACGAGACGATATCGATCATCTTGGTTTCAATGAGTTATGAATACATATAAAAACTATTTCAGATTGCGAACGTATTGTCCCCGAGATACTGCAGTGTTACTTTATCTTTGAAGTACACAATGCCATGACCGTCTCAAAACTATCAAGAAAATTATGTTTCAAATTTCGACTTACAATTTTGAACACATTTAAGATTTAATGAGTACTGTTTACTTGGAAAGTTTTAACTGTTTTAGTTGTTCTCATCCTAAGATAGGAAAATCAGAATCTGTCGATGGATATGAGAGATGTAAAACATATGTTATTGTCATACACATGTCTTAGTATACGAGTAATCAAAAGCGTTAAAAATTTCAACCTATTGTTACTCAAAGTTTTATAATCGAAATTTGAAATTTTCTTTTCCTGTTGTTCTTGAACTAATCAAGGCATCGTGTTACAAAAATACTGTAGGAATCCAGAATCGAGATTGCAATAAGCTAGTATTCCGAATCCTTTCTTAAAGCATCCATTAGAGTCCTGCAACCTGACCCGACCCCACCTGAGGTCGGCTCGGGTTCAGATTTCACATAAAAATTTGTCGGGTTTTATTTTCCCATAACATATGCTCCCCATGCAAAAAGTTTTTCATAGAAATTCGATTAAAATGGCACAATTTTAATCAGATTTTAATCGAATTTTTTAGGTTTAAAGACGGATTTTATTTGGTTTTATATTTTTTAATCTATTTTAATCGATTAATAAGCTTTAATCAGTTAAAACTAATTATCAAAATCGATTTTATTTGATTTAGGTTTATTAATCCATTAAAATCAAATAAAATCCGTCTTCAAGCCTAAAAAATCCGATTAAAATCTGATTAAAATTGTGCCATTTTAATCGATTTTTAATCAGAAATTTTTACATGGATCCCGCCGTCTATTTCTTTTACATGCTGTATACACAGAACAATGAAATTGAAAACTATTGGATTATGTATCAAACAATGAACAAATGCTTGTGAACTTTGTTTCTCGATACACAGTAAGCTTACTTCCATATTTTCATATTTTTCTTATCGTCGTTCGAAAACGAGGGCGTGGGCGTAGGTATGCTAAAAAGATCGAGAACTGCTATCCCACTCACATCCTACACTCACACCCCACTCCCACCAGAGATGGACACGGTTCACGTTTTTCGAAAAATGAACCGAACCGAAACCAAAAGATTTAAAACTGAACCGAACCGAACCGAACTGAAATTTAAAATAAGCTGAGAAATGCATTGAAAAACTGTTTTTTGATGGGCTCGGTTCGTGTTTTTTCGAAATCGAACCGAACCGAAACCGAGGTCGGTTTGAAAAGTTGTGAACCGAACCGTGCCCATCTCTGACTCCCACCCCACACCTTACACCCACTAGGCATTGGCGTTACCGGTCACGTTCAGTCACAACCATACAATATCCTGGAATCTGATTAGCGTTGAGATGAAGTTCGCATGATGTTCCATAGCGATAACATAGCAACACCAATCAGATCCCAATGTATTCTATGGTGGTGACTGTACGTGATTGGTCACGCCGATGTCTAACACTCACACCGTGTATTTTGTTATTTTCATGAACTTTGTATTGTTCTATGTGGTAAAGGTTGAAATAAAGTAATCCATTTGTGGAAAAGAAGGAACATTATTTCTCGGTCGGGCTGGGTATCGGGTTCTATCTCTCGGGTTGGGTCGGGTTTTAGGTCTTACGTCTCGGGTTCGGTCGAGCTTCGGGTTTTAAATAAAATGTTGGATCGGGTTCGCGTATGAAAAGTCGTATACGTGCAGGACTCTAGTATGCATACCTCTGTAGGAACAATATATGATGCAAATAAATCTGATTCAAAAGTGGCTGAATAATTGAAGAATTTTCGTCATATAACAATACAAAATATGGTTGATATCACCGATGTCTCCTTTAAAAGTTGAATCAAATACTGTTTTTTTTATAGATAACGACCATTTTGTGATAGATAAGTATATAAAAAAGGATATGGCTTTTTCCAACACAGAAAGGTAAAGACCCTTTGTTTTCTCCCAGGTGCATTGTCATAATATTACTTATCACAAGCACTTTTGATGGTTATGTCATGATTCGCATAAGAAAATTCCAAAAATACTTAACTTTCGGTGAAAACTTCAGCAATCTAATTAAGCATAATTGCACTCCCATAATCCATCAATAATTAGACTCGGATGCTTTATAGCATATTTGTTCGATATGGGTGTGGGTGGGTGTCGATGAGGGTGTGTGTGAGAGAGATGTCACCTAACTACATAATCACATCTCTATCCTCTATATTTTCTCTTCTCCAATTCTATTACTATTGGTTTTCCTTAACTTGGTGATATGTACACCTAGATATATAGATAATAAAGAAGACAAAAGGTTGGGTGTGGAGTACACACGAGGAATAAACCCGTAACATTTGGCGACCCTGCAAAACAACATCCATATAAACAAATAAGAATTAAATTATTAATTGATTAAATTGATTTACAATTTATACTTATCAGAGCCTCTTTCTAAAGAGACTCGATATCAATTAACAAACAGAGTCTTTAAAAAAAAAGGACTGGATATATTACAAGATTAAAATATCTACTTGATTATACGTATACAAATTATATCTTTCAATCTTGGATGAGCAACTTCTTTCTTTTTATATCATGATTGATATATAAATATAAGTATACTTTTGAGTAAACTGTTTCTTGGGACTTCCAAACACGAAATTGGTATTACATTTTTTTGTTTTTGGAAAGACAAATTTTCAATCAACACGAGGAAAAATTGACATAAAATTAATTTTAGAATTATTATTATTTTCACCATTATAAACAGAAATTCTAAGGAGATATTCGTTCATACATTTCGTTCCCTTCTCTATCATATTTCATTCATTCATACATTGCTCATTCATTTATCGCGATATTGATTATTATAATTAAAATATCTATCACGGCTACCGGAACAAGATTGCAAGTTAAGAAAAATAACACGACATCCTTCTGAGGATGTCGAACGTTTTTTCAAAAGCATTAAAAATATTACGAAAGCTAATGATGAATCTGATAATCATGAAATTTTGGAAATTGTTCGTGATAAATTAACTCAATCCGCTGGATTATGGTTTGATAATAATGAACATAATTTTACGAAATGGTCAGATTTTGAAATGCAATTTCGAAATCGTTATTTATCAACAACAACGATTCATAAAAAATTTGATAAATTACAACGAACACAATTACCTGATGAACCGGTCACATCTTATATGGAGGATGATATTAATTTATGTAGTGAAATTGATCCATCTATGCCTGATTCAATTATTATTAAACATTTGATGAGTGGAATTAATCCTGACTTTAGAAAAGAAATTTCTAGACACGAATCATGTATGAACGTATTAAATGAATTTTTAAAATATGCTAAAATTGAACAAGATTTATATGATACATTTGAAAAATCTCGTCAATTATCAATTGAACCCAAACAATCTTATATTACTTATTCACAATCAACTATTCCTTCATTAACAGCTACTATGAAACAATCACAACAAAATTATCATTATATAAAAAATAATGAACTTTTACATCCATTACCACAACAGAGCTCCTCTATTAATCGGAACTCGGGTGATCGATATACACCTAGATCAACATTTACACATAATAAAACAATTCAAATTAGTCCACAAGAACATACATTTAACAATAAAAATTATATTAATAATAAATTACAATTGCAACAATCATGTAATTATTGTAAAATTTGTGGTCGACACAATCATCGAACAATTGATTGTTTTTACAAGCGTACAACCGGATGTTTTAATTATGGTCAAAATCATAATGTCCGTTATTGTACAATGCCTCCAAATTTTCAATAGCTGGGTCACGCAATGGCGGTGTTCCCAGTAAATTTATTAAGCCATCAACAATAACATCTTACCCCATTTATATCAAGATCTTTGTCAATAACCAACCAACTGAAGCAATTATTGATACAGGATCCGCCATCTCAATCATTCATTTAAATTTTCTTAAAACAATTCATCACAATAATTTTATTTATAAAAATCATGCACGTCAAACAGCAAATGCAACACCATTAAATATTATTGGTCAAATAAAATTAGAACTTAAAATCAAACATATAACAAATTTTGTCGTTGCATTTGTTGCAACAAATTTAATTACATCAATGTTGTTAGGAAATGATTGGATTAATACAAATCATATTCATCTTTTTGGTGACCAGAAAAGATTGACAATTCCTGATCAACTTGGTCAATTAATTTCAATACCGTATATGGAGCCCACTTCTGTTTATTAACCAACATTATTAGTCCATCAAATTACTCTTCCTCCATATTCAAAAACATTAGTTAATATTACATGTAGTGTTAAGAATGATAATAATTTGATATTTGAACCACATCCATGTAACATATCAAAATTTATTCTTATACCACATACATTATTAAATATTAATAATAACCAAGCTAAAGTATTATTAATAAATACGCAAAATCAATCGCAAACACTATCAAAAAATACACGAATCGGAACTCTTTCATGTCATTCAACATATACAGTATATGCAACAACACAAAATTCTGTTTCCAATGAAAATCATAAATTAAGATCTCAACATTATAATGAATTTAAATCTAGAGCTGTCTTAGATAAAAAAGACACCTCGAATCAAGAAACATTAAATATTATTTGTCATCGTTGTAATGAATATTTTTTATCTGGTAATCACTTACAGAAACATTTACGAGCACAATGTTATTCTGACCAAATACGAAAACAAATAATCGAATCAACTCGACATATAGACAATAAAAAACATCAATTAGCAATTCAAGATATACTATGGAGAAATAAAATACTATTTGATCCTACACCATCTATTATTAATATCCCTTCGCAATCTGCAATCAAAACCAGTGATCATCCACCTATTTATTCGAAACAATATTCCGCTTCAAATAAAGATCAAGATATTAAATTTCAAGAAACACAAAAACTATTAGAGCGTGGTCAAATTGAGGAATCAACATCTCCATGGTCATCACCTATTGTTCTTGTGAAGAAGAAAGACAAAACAATGCGATTTTGTATTGATTATCGAAGATTAAACTCTATTACAATCAAAGATGCATTTCCACTGCCTCGAATCGATGAAATTTTTGATCAATTATCTGATGCTATATATTATACAAAATTTGATTTTAAATCTGGTTATTTTCAGGTACCTCTATCTAAAGAGGACCGTCCAAAAACAGCATTTTCCACTCGTGATAATCATTATCAATTCACTGTACTTCCACAAGGAATAACAAACGGACCCGCCACATTTCAACGTGTAATTAATCATATATTAGGACCCGCAAGATGGAAATATGCATTAGCCTATATTGACGATGTAATTATCTATTCGAAAACATTTGAAGAACATTTATCACATCTTAGTGAAATTTGTACAATATTAAAAAATGCTCGATTCCGCCTTAACCCGGATAAATGTGAAATTGCTCGAACGCAAACTGATTATCTTGGACATAATATTAAAAATGGGGAAATTCGTCCAAATCCTAATAATATTAATGGTTTATTAAATACAAGATTACCAGAAACTGCAGATGAAGCTTGTAAATTTGTTAAAGCAGCTCAATATTATAGAAAATTCATTCCAAATTTGTCTCAAATTGCCGAACCACTTAGAAAATTTGTTCCAACAACAAGAACTCAACAAAAGAAAGGACAAAAAACTACGATTACATTAGCCGGTAATGAAATTAAAGCATTTGAACAACTTAAACATTATCTCACAACTGATTTAGTGTTACGATTACCAAATAACAGATTCCCTTTTAAAGTTCAAACTGATGCGTCTGATGAGGGAATCGGTGCAGTATTATTACAAATTTATCCAGATGGTGATAGACCGATCGCATATCTTTCAAAGAAATTTACTCAAGCACAACGTAAATGGTCTCCTATGGAACAAGAATGTTATGCATTTATATGTGCATTAGATAAATGGCATAATTATTTAAGTGGAATTAAATTTATGTGGGAAACTGACCATAAAGCATTAACACAATTAAATCAAAAAGCTCAAATTAACAAACGATGTGAAAGATGAAGATTAAAAATTTTAGAATATGATTTCAAGGTGAAATGTATTCCAGGTTTAACAAATTCTATGCCTGATTTTTTATCAAGATCTCCAGTTGACGATGTTGAAGAAGATCCTGATGAAATTACACATCTTATTTCAAAATCAACACAAACCGATACTTTAAATGTTAATAATCATTCATCTATCGTCGCAGCTGTTCAAACTCGTGCTATGAAAGTAAGAAAGCAAGCTTCCAATAACACCACTGATACACATAAAATATCATCAGATTCTCTGAGTTCTTCATCCAATTCATCATTCAATACTTCAACGAAAGAGAATCGAATAATTCTATTTTCAATTGAAGAATTAATAGAAGCTCAACAAAATGATAATTACACAAAAAATATTCTGAATAATATCCAGAATCATAAAAATTATATCATTAAAGATAATCTTTTAATGCGTCAATTAAATCCTCCAGTTCCTTACGTACCACAAGGTGATCTTCGCCGAACAATTTTACATATATATCATGATACAACAGCCAATGGCGCTCATTTTGGAAGAAATAAAACGATACACAAGATTAAACAACGTTATTGTTGGCCTTCCATGTATAAAGACATCAATAATTATGTTAAATCATGTATTCCATGTGCACAATTTAATCCTCGTCGACAAAAACTCCTGGTAAATTAAAACCGATTAAGCCTCCTGATGGAGTATGGCAATTAGTGGCCATAGATTTTCATGGACCTATTAATCCAACATCACAACGTGGGAACAAATATATTATATCTCTTACTGATATTTTATTGAAATTCGTCGTTACAAAAGCTGTACGTGATAATACAGCTCAAACAGCTGTAAAATTTCTTAAAGAAGATATTATATCAAAATTTGGAACACCTCGTTGTATCCTTACCGACAATGGAACTCATTTCACATCAACATTAATGGATGAATTATGTAAACAAATTGGAACAACACATTTATATTCAACATCATATCATCCCCAAACAAATGGTCAAGTTGAAAGATACAATTCAACTATGGATGCAAAAATTGCAGCTTTATCAAATTTACGTAAAACTGATTGGGATGATCAATTATCATTTGTAACATTTAATTACAACAGCTCAGTTCACTCGTCGACACAACAAGTACCTTTTGAAATGATGTATGGTCGATTACCTGTTTTACCATTTGATCATCAAGATCCCAATGTTACCCTCACATATGATTCTGAACATGCGAAAAAACTTAATCAATTTTTATCAAATATAAATGAACAAGCTAAAATTAATATTATCAAAAATCAAGCACGATATAAACAACGTCATGATACAAATCGTTCGGATCCATCATACAATATTGGTGATTTAGTTCTTGTTAAATCACTTAACACTCGTTATAAATTTGATATTCGTTATGAAGGACCATTTAGAATTATTAAACAGCTTACACAAAAAACGTTTATTATTCAACACGTCAAGAAACCAACACTACATCGTCAAGTAACAACCGACGTGTTACTTCCAATTTTCGAACGAAATTATTAACTTTAGAATTAATTAATATCTCAAAATTAGATGGAATAATCATTTAATATTGGATTAACCTGATTTATTATGATTTAGCATAGCATGATCGGGGAGTGTGACCATTCCCCACTCACTGGCCATGAAGGGCTATCATATTTAAATTAGAACAAACAATCTTATATAAATTATTAGTCTATTATACGAAAATTAATTATTGAATATAAATTATGTTCAATTAGCCTTGACAGATTCTTAACCATGGCAATGAGAATCGAGAAAGAAACTTTATTTCGTAAATTACTTCTAATGAGATATTAAATAGATTATAAATTATCGCTTAACTTTTTATTTCGAATTATTATGTTATTTTTTTACTATTCATATGATGAATAATCGCTAGATTCCTATGTTCGATGAGAATCGTTCATTCATAAATTTAGATTCACTATTTAGTGAATCGACATTTATTATATATACCTTTCTTATTTCTATTATAGTCATGTTGTCAAACGATGAATATAGAAACATTATATGGAAACTTGATCACGTACCAGAAAATCTTCATGGACAACAACGTCAAAACTATACACGATTACTACGCCAACAGACCAAAGAACATGAATATGCAACAAAATTTATTCCATTTGAACCATTACCACATATACCATATTTTATAAATCGGACAACAACGAAACAGTGTTTACATCAACTTATTAAAGCTGCAACAGTATCACCTGAATTTACTCTTGATACCGAATCAATGAATATATATAAAAAAGAAAACAAACCCACATTAATACAATTACAGATTTTTTTACCACATCATTCATCATGTGCTCTTATCATCGAAATGTATCATCTTCCAAATGAAAACCATATTTGTTTTAAATTAATTAAAGATTTAATTGAAATTATTTTTTCACAAGATAAAAAACTTTATACATGGGGCTCAATAAATGAATTAAAACCGTTCGTCATATTTAAATTATTTTCATATGAACAACTTAATCGTATGAATCCCATTAATTTACAAGAAAATTTCAAAATATTTTGGAACAAACAACATCGTCATAAATCATCTAGTTCAACATCATCTAATAGTTCAAGCGATAATTGTCTTTGTGAAGCATGTATAGGAATAGGACCATCTGAACTTTGGTCTCTCCAGAATTCCGTTGCATTTGAATTAAATGAATACCTGCCAAAAAAACTAACAAATCAAGATTTTAATATGGGACTTGATCCAAATCTTCATCATACGGACTCCAAAGAAAAACATCATCGACAACAACTTAGCACATACGCACTAAATGATTGTCTATCAATGCAACGAATTATAATTCAAATGAAAAATAAAAAGTTCGAATTTAATTCTCATTTGATCCAATATGATCCATATGATTTATCTGAATTATCACCTATTTCTTCAACAGATGATGATATATTTTTATTAACACAACTATCTTCCAATCAATTAAATAAACAGGACATTAAATCTTCGATTAATAATGATTCATCAAATTTACAAAGTGAACCATGCACTCCATCTATTGAACTTCTTGAAAATAATTTTATATTACCATCAACTCAAGAAGATTTGATCATGATTCATTCCCCAGACCAATCAACTCCATCATTTACTTACACACATACAAAATCACATGATTAGAAATTACTGTTGTCCAATGATGATAATACAATAGCGATCAATTCATCACGTCAACAATCATCATCTACTCATCGCATTCCAGCTGATTCAACTCCTACACATGAAGCACTAACTGTCGAACAAAAGAGAAGAATTCATAATCGATCGTGTACTTTACGACAAAGGAACCGATATTATCGTCATGAATTAACATTCCTGAATATAGATCGTCGTTTTACCATCAGACAAATTAAATCCATTCTTCGACAATATGATGTTTCTTTTTATGCAGTTAATATATCAACATCAACAACAACAAGCCAAAAAACATGATATGTTGGTATTCGTGATCCATCATTAATTGGAACATATGAACAACAAACACATGATCTATTTACTATGCAACATTATAATGAACTTAAACCACAACAACGACGATCTTATTCATTCTCTCGTTCTACTCATCGTCATTAACATTTATAGTGATATTGATGATTTATTCAATTACTTGTTTAAATATTTTGATTTATTTCTATATGAACAAACACCATTCAACTCAACTGAACAATATGAAGATGCTTATGCCAGATATTATGTTATTGTGTCTTTCTATATTAAATTTTTGTAATTGATTTTTTTCTCTCCACAGAAACATACTGACACTTTCTGTTACTTGTTATTGTTAAACTCATTTTTTCTCTTTCTTTTTCATTCTGTTATTACTCAGATTATATTCTTCTTGATATTGTTGTTATATTTTTTTCTATTATGTGATCTTCGTTTCAGGTTACATTTAGTTCTTGTATATTTCTATGATTGATATTTTGGTTAGCTTGTTAAACCTCACATAATCATTGTTTTTTTTTTGTTGTAGTTGACAACTACTGACATAGATGTTTCTCATTTTTGAACCTCGTTCTATGTGTTCTATGTTTATTCTATCTCTTTGTTCTTTGTTCTTTTATTATTTCTCATCCTATTTTGGAAAATGTATGAAGGATACATTTTCAAATCAATAGGGGAGTATGTGAGAGAGAGATGTCACCTAACTACATAATCACATCTCTATCCTCTATCTTTTCTCTTCTCCAATTCTATTACTATTGGTTTTCCTTAACTTGGTGATATGTACATCTAGATATATAGATAATAAAAAAAAGACAAAAAGGTTGGTGTGGAGTACACACGAGGGATTAACCCGTAACAGATCATGATTGATCTTAGCGTAAGATCATATAAAAAATCTTGTATGCGTAAGATCTTATAAAGTCGTATATGAACTGACATCTGGTTTTTCGACCTGGAAGCACTGTTTAAGAGCTATTATTCTAATACTTTATTAGTACAAGCAAAATCGCAACCATACTGTATTTTTCTCGTCTCTTTTATGCTATTTCCTACCATAGAAGAACGCAATAGAATACACTAAACACAATAAACAGAAAAAACGAGGTATAAGGACAGATTCACAGAACAGCAGATATTATGTTGAAATTATGGGTAATGATATGTATAAGAGAGGGACATGTCAATCGTCTGATAGCAAAGTATATGTAAGAGAAGAGCAAGATAAATATAACAATTAGAAAACAGATATTGTAGTTATTCCTTATATGGATGGCACTATGTACGAGAGAAAGCCAACCTAATTATGCGATTCCAAAGATGATATAGAAGAAGAACGAGATGGAAACCCACGAAAGTAGGAATAAATGACAGACAGAAAAAGAAATTATAGCCATTTCAATCGAGGATAAATACTAACTTACAAATTACACGGGATTGTTACAAATATCTTTATATTCGAGAGACGTAAGTATGAATTATGGGTCCTCAAGTGTTGATAGTGTTACTCTATATGAATTTAACCAAATCATACAAAAATGATGACTGACAAGGGAACATTCCCAGGTGTCGGAACGCTTTTCAGTCGCGGTTTCGCGCATCTTGCAGCTCTTAGTGAGCTTTGCCTATCGTAAAAAAAGTTTGGGTTTCTGGCTTGTTTCTGAGGAGATAGAACGTTTTTAGTGAATTTTCGCTATTGGACCCAACATTCACAGCAAGACTATATTTTCGAATTTTGCGCTGAAACTTTGACCACATAAAGATATCATTGAGACTACTTCGCATAAAAAATTTCAAAGTGTTTGGGTTACGTCTCTCTGAGATATGAAGCTATCAAAATAGATACCGTTTTCGATAGATAATGCATATAGGATGCATTTTTTGAAAGCTCCATATCTCAGAGAGACGTAACCCAAACGCTCTGAAATTTTTTATGCGAAGTAGTCTCAATGATATCTTTATACGGTCCAAGTTTCAGCGCAAAATTCGAAAATATGGTCTTGCTGTAAATGTTGGGTCCTATAGCGAAAATTCACTAAAAACGTTCTATCTCCTCAGAAACAAGCCAGAAACCCAAACTTTGTTTACCACAGACAAAGCTCACTAAGGGCTACAAGATGCGCGAAACCGCGACTGAAAAGCGTTCCGACACCTGGGAATGTTCCCTTGTGAGTTGGTAACGCTTTTAATTTTTAAGACTTCATTAAAAAAAATATTTTCGAAAAAAAACTTCTGCATTGACTGATATAGAATCAAAATATTCAGAAGCGTTTTTTTTTGTTGCAACTTATATGTAAATAGTTTTTTTCATGTTCTCACACTAAACCAAGATTAAAAAAATCCAAAGATATATTTAGGTTTCTCGTGAAAGGTAGATCTATCCATACTAAATATGTCGTAAGTTTAGAGGGAAATCCACATAGAAATATGGTGTTAACATTGCAACCCTTAGTGCTTTTCAAAGGATTCATGTGCTCAAGGTTTTTGAAAAAGTCGAATTACTCGATATATTGATATAGTATATTCAATAGAGCTTAACCTGCGTTACAATTCTAATGACATCGAATTTTTAACATCTTTACTAAAGATGAAATAAACGATCGACTTCAAGAAAAAGATTACAGTTTTGTATACCTCTAATTTAGATTTTCAAAAGTAAACCCCATGATTTTAATATTTGAGTGCTTGTAATTGCAATGAAATGTTGAGGGTTTCTAGAGCTATTTATTGTAAGAAAAATGCTGGAAACCGTTTGAAAAAGTAACGCTCCATTTTCGATATATCGAATTGTTTTCGGAGTGCACTATCGTGAGCACATTCTTATAGAAAGATGCACACAACTTCATTATGAAATTGTTGGAAAAATTCAACTGCTTAAAATAAATTGCATATAGAATATATCAGCATCTTACATCCTGTTACTTTTCATAAAAGTATTCTTTGATAATAGAAAATATTTTTTTTCGAAAATTGCCGTACGCTCCTCAGGGATTCTTTAAAATAATGCTTTTTTCTATTTTAAAAAGCTACATTTATCGAAGCTAATAGAGAGTAGATGATGAAATTTTCTGTGCGCAATTTATTCTAAGCACTTGGATTCTTATAATAATTTCATAATGAAGTTGTGTGCATCTTTCTATAGGAATGTGCTCACGATAGTGGACTCCGAAAACAATTCAATATATGGAAAAGGGAACATTACTTTTTCAAACGGTTTCCAGCGTTTTTCTTACAATAAATAGCTCTAGAAATCCTCAACATTTCATTACAACTGCAAGTACTCAAGTATAAAAAGCATACGGTTTGCTTCTGAAAATCTAGGGTGTGGGTGAAAGAAGAAATACGTACACCCATACTCACCCACATCCTCAAGGTTGACTTTGATAAAGAAGAAACTTCGATTTTTGAGATATGTCATTACAAATAGAAGATATTGTGCTTTCACTAATTTAAAATTGAATTTTTGCACAAAAAAAGAAGCTCGATCTTTTTCTCAAACACGAGAGTCTGAGTTGTCTAAGAAAATTAGTCTTTTTCCAGGCAGAACAACCAGAGAAAGTCTCATATTACAAAGAAAAATATACTCACATTCTGCTAATCATAGGTAGCCAACACTCTTTCTCAGGTTACCAAGAGTCTTGACTATGTGATTATTACCCAATCACATGCAGACTTCATCCCTCTACTTTCAGGGCGTAACATGCCAGGAAGTTGGAACATGATCTATTGTCATATCCAGTTCTCCTAAAACCTCATGAAACTTGTATTCTGTGAAATCATACGATAAAAAGCGCTGCATCATTTCAATGTGATAGTCTTCATTAGCAGCCACATATGGTCAAGGGTTACACAAACTACTTACGCCATGAGAAACATGACATAAAAGTAGCACTACTTATCGTACATTGTCATGAAATATTAGCAGCAAGTACTTCAAATATGTAGATACATGTTCCTCTTAATTAAAACCAGTGACCTATGAATTTTAGGGATTCTTAAGTACTATTTATATGGGTATATATGAATATATTCTCGCCATTTTGGTCACTTATGAGTACATATATACCTGTATGAGTAATTTACAAACTCCCTAGTTCCTCATCTCAAAAATAGAGTGATATCTACGTACATATTTACATATAAATAATCCTCAAGATGCCTTAAACTATATCTGATTATGAGAACAAGTGGCTGTTTTTTATTGTAGATTCAGATTGAAATTACAATACCCAATCGTACAAAAATGAAATGGCAATCCTACGTCGATAATCAGCTTGTCGGGGCTGGTCTTTCAGGTGGAGCCATAATTGGTTTTGATGGCAGTCCGTTGGCGGTATCTAATGATCTTGACTTGAAGTTGAGAGTCATCTGATTCTTTTCACATCATCAATATATTTTTTCATCTTTCAGACCTAATGAACGCATGGCAATAGCTTGTCTATTCGTAAATCCTGCTGATGTCTTTACAAATGGTGTAAACATCAACGGTAGCCATTTCTTCGGTTCCCAGGTAGGCTCATCTTCGCTTTCTGACAACTATTGTTGTGAGAGAGAGAGAGAGAGAGAGAGAGAAAGAGCATGGGAATGTTGTATATTTTACCTCTTAAATTCATCAATTTTAGGGTGATGAGCGTTCCATATACGCAAGGAAGGGTGCAGATGGAGTGATTATGGTCAAGACTACTCAAGCAATCATAATTGGCGTTTACAACGGGCGCCTTTCACCAAACGCTGCTGCTTCTATTGTAGAGAAACTGGGCGATCATCTGATTGAAAATGGTTATTAAGCTTACAGTCGAGCACAAAAAAAATTGAACTATATCTCAGAACACCTATCTCTGGGTTTCAGCAAATGTGTAGTTAGATGAAACAATAATAAATATCAAGATGCTAAAAAATAATTTAACATTTCTCAAAACAAAGGATGATCATGGAAAATAGAAATGTTCACATATGCCGTCGTGTTTGACCTTTGGACTCGTTGAGAAACGACGTAATATGCAACCAATGATGTAATAGCTTTATCTCTTGTTCAAAAAAGAACAGAAAAGGAGGAAAGGAAGAGAACTTAATAAAAGTTTCGAGGTTTCAGAAAATTCTAAGTCGACGTGGCGTACGAGTTTGAGGGTATGACCGTGGATGTAGTAGTGCCTCTTCCTTAGGTTAAAATCTTCCCATACTCACACTCACAAAGTTAAAATTAATAATTTTATTCAATAGTTCTTAGTGAAGCTGCTGATTAATCATAACTGAAAACTAATCCTAACTTGTTCAAATAACAACACAGGTAATAGCTACTGAAAGAAATTTGTCAAACCTATTCAAGCTGTTCGATGAATTGAATTGAAGTCAGTGTAGTTTGCTTGTGGAGAAATGAATATTACAACCATGATCTAGAAACAGAGGACACTCGATTTTCGACTGATCAACACGTAAACAAAATAAACAGTGTACTGATAATGAAGATTGATTGAAAACATATGTATATGGGTGTTACATTCATGATTATTATATTAACAATTTTTACGTCACACGAAAATATATTTTCCCAAAGAGTATTCATCTCTCTGTAAAAAACATCATTCTAAAAGATTTGCAAAACGATTTAATTGCGCAAAAATAAACGCTGCGTACCAAAAACAGATATCTACATGATAATTGTTCATTTCTAAAGTATTTCAAAGACTTTTTTTCATGTAGATACAAATATATACAATAAATGTATTCAAAATAACATAAAGAAGTTTATATTCGATTGAAAAAAAAGCCAAAATCTATGCATCAAACATAAATGCTTGTAATAATGTTTGAATAATAAAAAAACACAAAAAAGAGAATTTCTAGTTCAGAAAATTTTTTCTTTAATTTAAAATCATTTCTAAAACACCAACCTATTTAGTGCTATACAGTTTAGAAATATGTTTTTGAATAGTAAAGCATAACGGTTGGTGCAGAATCAATTGCACTGTTTGTATTTTTAACATTTCTCCTCTATTATACCCATGATGTAAACATATTTTATTATGAAAAAAGAGCTCTTGAAATTCTCTACAAAACCATGTGTGACTAGGCTCGAAATCTTTTTTAGATACATTTGAAAGATGATGAAAAGTAAAGACATACAAAACAGCTGTAAAAACCAACGCGATTGAGCATAATGAATGATCGTATTTTGCATCTTAATTTTTTATGACGTAATTCGCCCTATTAAAAAAGGAAAATACACTAAAAGATGCAGTGTCAAAATCTCTACAATTTACATAAACGAGCTTACCTTATAGTTGCACCTTTTGTTCGCAAAATAGAAAATATTGTGAGGGGTCAAATTTTGACAATGCGAAAATGATGTTTGTCTTGATACAAGACAAATTAGCTTTTCTCTTATTTCATTTTTCAATAGTTATTCTTTGTAAATTGTAGAGCTTTTCACGCTGCATCTTCTGATGTCTTTTGTTTTTAAATTACTGCGAAGTGATATAAATAAGATGCAAGTTGTGATCATTCATTATGCTCAATTGCGTTAGTTTTTACAACTTTGTGTATGTCTTTATTTTTCATCATTTTTCAAATATGTCTAAAAAAGATTTTGGGCCTACTCATATATGGTTCTGTAGAGAATTTCAGCCGCTCTTTTCTCATAATAAAATGTGTTTCCATCACGCGTATAATAGAGGAGAAATGTTAAAAATACTAAAAGTGTAGTTTATTTTGCTCTACTCGTTAAATAAATTGACAGATCGAGAAACAAACATGTTCACATAATCTTTCTTTGTTTTTAGGTATCAAACTTATTATAATTAGCTGCCTTAACGACCATGATTAAATGTTTCACAACATAATATCTTGAGTTTGCTAATACAGATTTCGCCTTTGCCGATGAAATTATACCTGGGAACCATTACAATGCTTCAAAATTAATCACTTTTAGAGTACTCATTTTCATATTAACGGTTTTATGTCACTGTTTTGATTAAATAAAACGTAGGATATCTTGAATCAGGATTCGCCATAAAGAACTCTCCAAGTTCGAGACTCTGCTCTTCAAGTAGAGCTCGATGAGGGTGTGGGTGTAGTTAAAGAGCAGACCTTCATCAATGTCCATATACCCACACTCTTCTAAACTATCCTAAAACGGTGACACAGATTGTGTGAGCTATTTGCGATTATATGTAAACGTATTATGCTATTTTGATTCGAAACTCGTTGCTCGAATTATTGGCTTGTGTGCTTCGCACCGCATTTTATATTCAAAGCGAAGCTCGAATATCATCTAGTTCTTGTAACTGCTCATTCTAACGATTGTTGATATTGAACTCTTCTTCTAGATGACAAAATAAAAAATTTATCTGTTTTTTGTTGAAAGATGCTTTTCTATTGTATAGAGAAGATAGTCAACTTCGTGTTTCTACTAACAAACTTCAAAATAGTACATAAAGATGTATAATTCTTCTCTTTTTGTTAAGGACAAATTTTCTTAAGAATATGACACAAATCCAATGCATTATTCATCGATAGTAAAAGAATAGTTATCAGATACTACTATTAGCTAACCGCGTACAAGCTTTTATTTATTTCAAATACAAAATGAATCACATACATATACTCATATATATCGATAAAGCATATTCATACAATTATTAATGTGAGAACGAGGAAAAGAAGTAAAAAACTTATGAAGAGCAACCAGAGTGAAAAGGCAAGAAAAAGATTATGGAACTATCAACTAAAATAAGATTATAGTAAAACTATTGCAAATGATATAATGTCCATAGAATTGGTATTTATTCTATTTTTAAGGACAGAAACCATTGCCAGTGTGTGGAGAACAAACTTTCAATGCAATATCATCAATGGCTATATCATCTCCATGGCCACCAGGAGCATCACTTATCATTAACAGATTAACTGTCTTGGTCGATGGTATGAATGAAAGACCATACTTTCTCCATGTCAAAGTCTTCTCTTCTGGTATCTATCCTGAGGATAATTGGGCAAGTAATTGATTTTCAGGTGATAGACTTCGAACTTCAAATCGAACATTTGGTTTAATTGTAGCAGGTACGCTCATAAGATTTGCCAAGTAGACAGAAAGTTCATAATGTAGACCAACACATAAATTACTAACTGTGCCATTATAAAACTGACCAGGTTTCTCATCAGTATTAACTATAAACATGTATCCACCCGGATCATCTGTATGATGTTTTGCATTTGTATGCCATTCTCCGTTGAAATCATCATGGATTGAATTGATAAAACTGAATGAGCCATCGAGTGTTTGAGGTTCAAATTTTTGCTTGTATGTCGTACTGAAATTGAAACGACTAGGTGTTGCCTGAGAATATTGACTTCCACCATTTTCAAATGTGATCAAGAAAATGTTTTTTTTCACCAAGCATTTCCTTCTCATCACATAAACCAGTGGATTCTTGTGGAAAAAACAAGAACGAGTTATATGTAAAAGTACATCGAAAATATCAAGAAAACGTGAAACTTACGAATTTCACACGTTGGACCAGAGAAACCACTTGGACATGTTCAATTATTTTTACATTCAGGAACACAAGTAACTGAAATAGTTCAATAAATTTAAGCCAAATTGGACATTTTGAATACACAAATAAAACAAACATTATAACTTTTTATATGACATATTAAAAGAGTTAAAATCTTGTAAGATATATTCTACTGTGCTAACCATCTAATAGTATGAAAACTATCGCTATTAGAACAAAAATAAAAACGAAAATAATGAATGACTCTTGAAAGATGTATTTTTCTATAATTTAGTGTGAAATCATCCAAAAACAACTAAATTTATCTTTTTACTAGTTTCTTTTGACTACTTTTACATCATATGTACGTAAAATAAATTAATAACAATTATAACAAAAAATAAATCGGTAACCAAGCTGATCATACTTCGACGTTATCAAAAGTGAATACTCTAAATTAATCTCATATATCATGCATATAATGATCGGACAGATTATCATAGAATAATCTGTTAAAATATTTGTGTGTTAATCAACTGATTTTTGCTAGAGAATGATAAAAAAGAATGAACAGAAATAATAAGAAAAGATTATAGTTCATATGAACATTGAATACTGAATTGAAAAAGGATTAGCACATTTGCAAAAACTCGAAAAACTTTTTCCAATATTATATTGAAAGCATCTTTTCTATCGAACTCTTTAAAATTCTCTCAACCAAATAAATGTTCTATGTTACAATGCAAAGCTTTTGTATATTCTTAAAAAAACTGTTTTGTCTCGTAGGTCATTTAATAGAGTTTTTTGTCAAGATTTGTTCGGATGTATCTATAAGAAAATCTTCACAGGTTAAGTAAATACATTAGTTACATTATCTAGTGAATCAGTGGATAACACACAAATATTTTTATGCCTTCAAATATTTCAACATTTTGTCAATAACTATTTATTATGGCAACAATTTGTCCATACAAGAGATGGACGAACCGCAGTGTAACATCGCCCCGCCCCGCCAGCGGGGCAGTGAGGGTACATAACGAAATTTCGCGGTTTTCCCGCCTTTATATAACCTTGATTTTTTATAAATATACTCAGATCTTTAGAGACATCCTTTAAAACTTTAAAAAATTTTTTCACAGAAAACTAAACAGTAAAAAGAAGCTTGTTAGCGCAGCTCCATAGGAGCTAAAATGTGGAACTCATGGATATTTTTAAAATTTTTTTATCGTGATGCCTAATTTTTAAATTATAAAATACCTTTTTTTCGAATATGTATGAAATACTTGATGTATTATATAAAAACTAGAGCCTTTTATGCGCGGTTGTTGAGGTCAGTAATGGGGGTATATCTGTAATGTTCTCTTTCCGGTTGCTATGTGTCTGTAATGAGATGATGAGGGGAGGAGCCGCCAAACGTCGAACTTAAAACTTACATTCACTATTTTCTTCGAAAATATACCTAAGTTCCACAAAATAAGTGATTGTATTATAATTGTTTTTCATTTTCATATGTTTATTTTTTTTTCTATTTCGAAATGATGTTTATGCATTTAAAATATCCCTTTTCATCTCATGAAATAAAATAGTCATTATGAAAATTTAACGAAAACCTTGTCGAGAAATAGTTTTTGAAAACATATTTTGGACAGGGTGAGACGAGGCGGTGATGGTGCGACTTTTTTGCTGACTCGTCCATCTCTGGTCCATACAGCATTTTATTCTTGAGTGGAATTGTTCGGGATGTGTTCTATCCTTTGACAATCTATTTGATTACTATAACGAATTCCTATTCATTCGCAATTCGAAAGATTATCAAAATTTCTTCAGGATAGTTAAGAAAGTCTACAGCAGGTAAAGATATCAGTAACAGGTAATCTTCAAGAAGTTACAGATGCCAATTCAGATATCTAGACAAGGCTACCATTGCTCTTCTCATCAATTAACCTTCAGAAACTTACTATTAGCACTTAAGCTAGATTAAAGATGGTTATCAAGGATACTTTGAAATAGTTCTACAAAAGTTACTAATGGTATCCCAGGTTAGCCTCTGGAAAGGTACTTATAGTACTCCTTGATAATCCTTGAGGAATTTTGAGAGCTGCTTCTAGCTAACTATAAGAAAGTTGTGAGAATCATTCTTAGACAACTTATAAATCAATAGATTAATTTCATTTGATTTAATTTTATATATTGTAACAACCAAATAAGTTACATTAAATCGATTTTAAATTTAAATTGTGAATAATTGAAATTTATTTCATTTTAGCAAGAAAATAACACTTTTGTTCTAGTTGTACATATTCTTTAGAACTTATTCTTCTTGTCGCTAAACACATTTCGATAGACACTTAAATTCACATGTGCGATTTCTCTTGTGTATTTTGCCAATAGTCGATTAAAAAAAACAAAATACTGCTAAATAAGATTACAAGTAAACTAAAATCTGCAGTTATAACTTTCGATCAAGGCTTGATTATTACCATATAAAAAAATAAACATAGAATAATAAGCCTTGAAAAAGAGTTTCTCTTTTATCTCATAAATCCTCACAACAGTGTAAAAATAATGAACTCTTCGAGAATTGATTATCTTTTTCTATATAGCTCCTTGAAGAATTTATTATTTTTACACTGATGTGAGCATCTATGAAATGCAACCGATAATAAAGTTTTTGCACAGTTTGTTATATTGTAATAAACACAAATAGAACTCATGAAAATTTTATGTAAGACTTACGAGCAAATAAACTCTTTTTAAAGATTTATTATTCTATGTCTGTCTTTTACACTGCCAGAACGATATGAACAACATCAAGCTTAACTATAAACAAGCTCTTGTATGCATACAAGAATAAAACAGGACATCTGATACTAAAACTAAATTAAAAATACAGCTTTCACTCTTGATTCAACCACAATAATTCTTGACTAAGGACCAAAAGAACTTTTATTTTCTTTCTCTAATATTTTCACAATTTTTACACAGAGACAGTGTATGAAATAAAGCGTGTTAATATATGTAAAAATCAATAATCTCACAATGATCAGATCATGATGATGGAGATTCCATGAATGCATAAACAATAATGAGTAGATTATGGAGTCCTTTTCAATCTGCATAGTATAAAAATAAATAAGAGTAAAATCTGATTGAATAATAGAAAAAACACAAAGCACCTCTAGTTCTGGGAAAGGTCGAATTGAACTTTTTGTTTACATAAATAATACAATCTATCTACACTTAAACTTCCTACTAACAATCTAGACTCACATATCTCAACATACAGGGACAGCGCGAAGAGATCAAAACAGGGGGAGTAACCAAAAATCGGAGCATCTATTTACGAGTCATTCACAAAAGATCTTCATCATAAACAAAAGCATATTGTTTTCTAAATGATGATTAACGCGAGTGGGGAAGTGGGTAGCTTTGGAGGTATTCCGTGTTCCATGAAAGGTCCTGACCGCAACCATAAGGGGAGGGGTAATTTCGTGAAGCTTCCTCCCAAGTTCAAAGAAAAACATTTTCCAACAATGAGCATGCTTTACAGATGGCTCCCCAACAATCTCTCTACATTCAGAGGAAATCTGAGCCAAAATTCTCAAAACAGGGAGATACCCTCCCCGCTCGCCCGTCCCCGAGTAGTTCTTCAAAATTGGAGAAAATCGTCTAATGATCCCGCAAATTTGGATAATACTGGCAATACCAAAATTCTCGAATTCGGAGAAAGCTCCAATCAAAATTTTTCGAAGCAGGAGGGAGGCGATCCCTCTATTCCGCCTGGTCGCGCCGTTCCTGTCAACATACAACTTTACAGATATTCAGGTTCAACGAAAATCATGATGACAGAAAAAAACGGAGGCGTCTTTTTTCATCATAATTACGATTAGTTCTAATAAACGTCAAGTGCCAGTTTACCAAGCAGTCTTGAAACTATGGAAACAGAACTCTAATTCGGAGAGAGATTTTATCAATAATGATGAATTTCCATAGTTATATGACTGTTTGAAATATCATGATTTGGCCAACTGCAGTCAACAATCGACTTGAAGTTTTGAATTTGTTTTTCTCAAACACTGAAATCATACAAATCAACCGAAAAAAAAAGAACAAGGGTGTGGGTGTGGGTGCAGTGAAAAAAATATTCGTATAGTAATGAACCCGTCAAAAGGGTATAACAGTCTCACATATACCCTTTAAGGGTTTATTCTGTGTAATAAACGCTTCCATAAACCTTTTAGACTGATAAACCCTCAAA